CCGTTGCTCCATCCCAATGATGTTGACCTGCCGACCAACTAAGGAAGATCACTTCAAACATGCTCAAACAGTAGACTGGATGCTTCAAAATGAAAATCTGCAGCCAAGTTGCCAAGAACACAGCGTCTGGTTCTTCCACATTGAGACCAGTCAAACTTCGCAGGGCGGTTATCCCGTCCAGAAAACTCTCCCTCCCCAGTTCGTACTCGAGTTGGACAATCGACTGTAGCAAAGTTGGTTGGGAGTTCAGCTTTCTGGCAACCGCCACATATCTTTTCACTGTCTCGGGCGACCAATCCGACGCAAGCTTTGCGGCGACAACCTCTGGCTTGTCTCCCAAACACTCCGTCAGCTCGAGGAGCACCAAGCACTTTGCCCTTGCAGAAAGACCCATCACATTCCTGGCCTTCTCTTCATCCTCATAGGACCCTGAGCAGCGGTATTCTGAAGTAAGCATTTATATGAAGCGTGACAAAGCTGTTGCAGGCAAGAGTTTGGCTTTCTTGCGAAAAAGCATCGAAACTTTGCTAGGAGATAGTCCGCTCCACTCCCTTGTCGGGAAAGACACAACACCACGTCGGTGAGCGATTCCAACATCCAGTAGAGGACATGATCGTTTGATTTCTGCCAGTAGCACAGCAAACATGCCGCTGCCACCCTTAATTCCGTGACATGTCAAGACATCATGCGCAGCTACTAAGCGCATGAAAAGTAACATAACTTTGAAATCAGTCGCAGCAGTAACTACGCAGAATCGTTTTAAGGATCTTACTCGGCATCTCCAGATGATCGAATCATATCTGCATAGTCAGTCCCGCTCCAAACGGAGGGGTCCGCATTGACTTGAATCGTCCCAACAACAACACCTTGGCATATTGGCAATCAAGGCATCCACAAAACCCTCACTCAAATTCAGAAATGTGGAAAAATGAGATCCTGGCGATTCAAATCTGTCGGCATCCGATTCCACGAAAGCATGACCAACTCAATGCGCTTCGGGTTGACCGCTACACAGGCTGTCTCTGAGAGCTTGAGGTACGACAGACTGCCACCGACTGTCATAGGCCCAGATGCTGATGCGACTTCATTCACAGGTCTGGTTGGGCAAGCTTGTCCTTTGGCGCCTCTCCTGCAAGCCAAAGCTACTGAGTGAATAGACCAGTTTCAGACTCTGAATTCTTCATCAGTCAGTTGGATGTGTCAGCTTCTAGATGCAGTCAAGGATCCCCTCCAAACTTGATTGCACAAATTTGAAAGCCTCCTCGATCTCAGATTGGAGTGTGCCAGCACGAACCACTTTACTGAACAACTCCGCGATTTCAAGTTCCACTGGCGTACCTTTTGCAGAACGCCTTGCCAGGCCAAAGGCCTTCCGGACTTCCGAGTCATCCGCTCCATCCAAAGCCATGGCAATGACTACTTGCCACAACTGACGGGACTTGAAACCTCAATATCAACAGGTCATTGACTCTGGCGTGCTACAAAGGTGGAGGTGCTCCATCCCCCACGCACGGTCGTACCCAGGTACGGCCGTACAACAACATAGGATGCTACCTATTGTAGTTCATTGACGTGGGCCAGCTCCATCATAGGTTGTTGTACGGCCGTACCTGGGTACGACCGTACATCGGGGATGGAGCACCTCCACCTTGCTTGCACAAGAGACTCACAATGAAATGACAAATTGAAAATTTTGGTTGTCGGGGACATGACCGAACGTGGGTACGAGTGACGTGAGAGCTATAAGGTACCGAACGTGGGTACGAGTGACGTGAAAGCTATAAGGAACCGAACGTGGGTACGAGCGACGTGAAAGCTATAAGGGACGGACCGAACGTGGGTACGAGTGACGTGAAAGCTATAAGGGACCGAACGTGGGTACGAGTGACGTGAAAGCTATAAGGGACCGAACGTGGGTACGAGTGACGGGGATTCTCTATGAGTGACATGCGCTCTCTTGAACGTAGGTGAGTTTGACTATGATTGAGTTTGACCTTTTAGTTGTGACAACTGAGTTTGAACAGTGGGTCAATCAATTATTATGCTTGAATCTGAATCTGAATCTGAAAAGCTTCGATGACTTGAGTGACAACAGTAGGTCATGAGGACTCAATCGTAGGCTAGCAATTGAAATTGAAAATGAAGTGACACCTGACTGATCTGTCAAAGCCGTTTTTCCAACCAGTTGGCCAGTTCTGCAGCCTGTAAGATCATGACTCGGCTAATGGATGAGTCCAGACTTGATCAATACCCCGAGCCCGACTACTTGCCCAATGGATGCCGTGTGCATGCCATTTCCAAGCAATTTGCGGATGGCCGGCCCCGTTTGCTTCTCAAAGCTCGTTGACGCCGGAATACCCATCCTAAGGATCATGAAAAGCTAGCAGCGTTGCAGCATCACTAGTTGTCACAAGTTGTCGTTCATGATCAGCGCTCAGACATCAGTCGTCTATAATAGTAGAAATTGGTAGCCAGGCTTGCAACCAAGAATCAAAGTTGCGAGTTCTGACTCCCGAAGCTCCCGGCCTAAACCCATACAGTAGATGGAAGATCTCGTTGCGAGGGTAGGCACGCATCCGTCTTGTCGAAGCTGGCAGCGCCTATGCTTAAAGGAAAATTATGCTTTAAGGTATTTCATGCATGCAAACCACAACAAAGGCTCAGGATTGGATGATTCCAAGTCGCTTGATGGTCTGGCTTTTATCGATGATGACCCTGCTGGATTGAAGCGGAGCAGAAATGTAGCTCAGAATGTTCAACATATTCCTCTCCCTTGCGGAATTTGTTTGCTTGATGCCAGCAGTCTCCAAAAGCCTGAGTTTGAACGATCTCATACTGACTTCTTGGCCATGATCTGGTTCATGGTTGCTGCGTGAGACGTTTGATGAAGACGAAGGCTGGCTGCTAACTGCAAAGTAAGGAGCTCGATGAAAGTGATTTTGCCTGACTCTTCTGCCAAGTTGATGTTCATGAGGTCACCTGCAAAGTCATTCAGAATCAGAATCTCAGTCAGTCACAATCAACCGGTCAGTGAAACAGTTCAGCTTATGAATCAGAGTCAGAATCATGACTGTTTTCTTGCGCAGCAACGATCTCTTCACCGAGTGACTATGTTCCTTGAGGTATTCAGCATGTACCTTCCGCCACGAACAAGTGATGGCCCCTTTGCATCCTTAGAGCTCGGCTTGTGACTTCATGGTCATGTTTGGTTTGGTTATGTTGTGTTTCATAGAAGCAGCAGTTTGAATGTTGTGAGATGTCACCGCAACAATTGTTTATTTTGACAATTGCAGCTCGATTTCCACAATTGCACGCGTGGGTGGAGCAAACTGACCAAGGGCTGAGTTCGCATTCACACCGCTGCAGGTCCAGCATTTCCTTGATTTGAATGAATTTGAGTTGAACATTGGCGGAGGAATCCAACCAGTGGAATATGTGCGATCAAAGAGCCCTGTGGTTTGGGAGCGCATGAAGTCGATCCCATTGAACAGAATCAGGACGTTTGAGTGACAGGAACTCGAAGTAGTCCACTGTGTTGGGGATCGTAATCTCCTGCTTGAGGTTCTCACAAAGCTGTTGCAAATTACCCACTGCGAGATTTCCACCTCGCAGCAAGCCCAAAGCCTGAGTCAAAGCTCAAAAGGATTCAGCATTCAGCATTCAAAGCTCAAAAACATTCATGGATTGTGTCTCACATGAAATGTTTTTTAGGCTAGAAGCATAACATCGGGGCCTCAACACCGGGAACCCCTGTTGCACCGGTGTGTGATTCCTGAAAATCGAGATGAAGTACAAGGTCCCCAGCTGCTTCTCAATATACTGCAAAGCCTTTTCCAAATCACTGACTCCATCTGCTGCACCATCGCCTGAGGATCTTTGGCTCATGCCCTCCACCTTAGAATGCTTACATTTATGAATACAGCTGCTGCGCTACACCCTGCACTCAGCAATGCTTCATTAAACATTTGAAGTCCAGGGGCACATTCTACGGTCCATACCAATGGCTCGCACCTCTTGATCGTTTCGATGCCGACGAAGAATGGAGCACTATTGGGGTCCTTCCAGCCCTTGCCAAGCCCTCGCCTTCAGCAGAACACAGGGATGGTCTGCAAACATGTCTCTTGAGGAACTCCAACCAATGTTCCAATGGCTGACAAGTCACAATGACCATGGGGTACACGGAAAACCCAGGCTGTACACACCCAAGTTTTTTGGAATGTGAACCCAATCGTTTTCCTTCTCGCTGAACACAAGCACGTCGCCATTATCATCATCAATGCGTCTTTGGGCCATGTCAGTGACCAACACCCCTCAGTTTCACGAGCTCATCAATGTTGGTTTAGAACCTGGACTGTCCATCTAATGACACTGGCATGATAGTTGGCACATGATGGTCACGCTACTGTCACGCTACATGAATGAGTCCATCAGTGGCATTGCAATAGCTCCTCAATGTTATTCCTGCAGGTTCGTTTGATTGAAGAAACTGGCGGTGAATTGTTGCCATGATATGAGACTTGCCAAGGATCTAGGCGCGAAATTCGTGTCCACAAAGTGGAGGGAATCTGGGTTTTTGTCACATCCCCCAACCAAATTCATTGACAATTGCACCTGGCCGCCGGTGGCTTTGGATATCTCTTCGAACCTCAAACACAGCTCAGCTTCCCAAACACAGCTCAGTAATGGAAACTTGACAATCAGAACCACCCCGACCATACCTTATGTTTGTTTGACTCTTTGCTTGTGACTACGCGTGTCCCAAATGCTACTAGTGGCAAAATCTTGAGCGCAATGCACTCAGTCGCCATGCCAGCGCAATCGCTCCAAACGTTGACACAGGCCGTCTTCGGGCCAGCAGTTGGACCTAAGCCCCAGGCCAAAAAATTATATCAGTGGAGGCTCTGATGTCTACTGGCCAATGTCATATATGATTCCCCGGCCCCTTAACATCATTCAAGAGTCCACGCTCAGCAACGAGGCGAGCAAGAGATTGGGCCCACCTGGTCATCTGCGTTGTTTCCATAGCTTTCATCTCGTTTGTCATCTCTTCGCTGGAGATCAGCTTGTCCTGGCGCAAAGGTGAACCAAACGTAACCCTTTGGCCTTGCGTCCAGCTCTGACATGATGGTTCGATCCATGCTGTCTCAGCTTCTGGCGACCGACAGTATGTTGGAGACGGAGAGTGTGGCTTTGATTTTGACATAGACCGTTTAATCTCTGAGTGATCTTAGGTGCAACTCCATCAAATCCCGCCACTATCACACTTTGACACCCACAATGGCATTACTAATTCATTCGGCGATTACATTTCGGCCCGGAAGTTCAATTCAGGATGTGGCGGGGCTTTAAGTTTTAAAATTAACTATCTATGCTGATGGCGCGCGCGCATATTACCTTTTTACGGTTTCCCCTCAACACTCAAGAATGATAAGACTCGTATTTCTTCCTTTGCAACCAAAGACTGTAAAGACCATCCCAACCGTCCCGCTAGAATCTGATCCCAGACGCTGATCCCTGGCGCTGACGACAGTAATCTACAAGAAACCAAACCTGAGGGTACACCCCTTGCAATCAGACACCCACCAAAGCAAACTACAAGAAACCAAACTTGCGGGTACACCCCTTGCGATCAGAAGAGCAACCTACAAGACACGAAACTTGAGGGATCTTGAGGGTACACTCCTTGGAATCAGCTTTCTGAAGG